ACATGAACGACTCTAAGCTTACTCTAACATACTAAATTACTGCCATTATTTGCTACATTCGCTAAATACTGAACCATGTACGACCTCTAATACAAGTACTAATATCCTGAATATAAATATGCACTGCAGCCTTCTTCACACTCATATTTCTCACGTACAATATTATTCATTTATTAATTTCAAATGTTGATAATCCAGCTCTAAACTCGGCCGCGACACACAATAATAACACTGATTACAGTATCAAATAAATACTCATAATTAATATAATACATTTAACAATAACTACATAGCTCATCACGTATTGAATTTAAGATAAATAATTCATAATCATCTTTCACACAATACACATTTATATATTTTACAACAAGTTTAGACTTTATACCAACATAAATATAACAGTAACCATCCTACTCAAGATAATATATATTACGGACGTTCCGACTTGTCCCGTTTACATCAGTGAACAAATAGATATATCCAGATTGGCACTATTAAATATTATTAATATTGCTATCTTAATTATGATATAATAACATATCATCATTCTATTGGTCACTGATCGGATAAAGATTTTACAAACAGTGTCTCGGGCAAGCTTTAGATACAACATTCGTTCTCAAAAGTCTAGTGAAACTGGATTAAAGAGTTATTTTCTCGCATTACAGAATTACTTCCATCGTCAACGAATTATTATTATTTTACAGTTTTAAAGTGCTCGCTTGACCTCTCGCACCGACACATCACGTACGCATAAGAATGATATCGGAATGCTATTCTATCGTCCATGGACTCCTGGGAGCACAGTAACATGCTAAGGCTATACTATATATTAGAGGTCCAGCCTTAGTATTACACTGATATTTACTGTTTTTAGCTAAACCCTCATACATATTGTTGTTATCATTAATATTATTTGATAATTTTTTAGGATACCTAAGAACTACAACTCGAAAATACTCAAACATGTCGCCGACTTACAATTTCAATTGCACACAGGCGCCCTCAATTTAAATTAACTAAATATTGCCTTTTAGCATGCTCGCGATAATTAAGCTGCTGGATAGCATACATACACCAGTTAAAACGCACACACACACCGTAAGACAACAACCACTTAACAGCGCATTACGATCGACAATAGACCGAAGTGAAGAACATCAGCTGCAGAATCAGCGAAACCACTTAAATAAAAATATGTAATTATTACATAAATTAAGCTCTATGCCAACTATTCTTTGCATAATACATACAATGCATAGTTCGCATTGTATTTATGTAGCCCTCCTCATCTGTCTAATAAAATCATCTGGCATTCCATATGACCACTACATATACTTGTAGATCTCTCCTAATCATACATCACCTAACATAAATAATTATATACAATCTTAATTAATCATGAGTACATAACACTCCACCACTACACCTACCCTACATTGTGGTAAACAGTACACTTGATCGTGGTCCATTGAATCACTGATCTTTAAACACTGTCGCCTCACTTTAGCCATACCTAACAAAAATAACATTTTTACTTTTAGACCCAGAATTACCATGAGCGCACGCATAATAATAGACTAGACATCATTACGCATTACTCGATAATGACCCTCTGAACCAATATATCGCTCCTCAAGGAGTCGTCAAATTCAATTATAGATACATATCGGAACCACACGTACACAATAATGTAACCTAACTCCTGAACCAACATAAAATAATCGCGCCAGTAATTGAAGCGATAGAAGCGCAGGATGCAGTAGATCAGGAAGGTAGAGCCAAGTCAGGGTCAGTGTTCGCTTGGCCGGTTAGCAGGAAATGGGTAAGAAATTCACTCCAGCTCTGCTCATATACTATTAATACCAACCTCGCCTAACGACCCCTTTGTAGCCTTGACAGGTAACCAACTGCTAGGGAGTCAATTCAAACTGAGCGTAGATAATTAAATTACATTTGAACACAGCGTGAAAAATCACAAATACGTAGCAGTTCTCGGACGGTACCCTCTGTGCATCCGCCTAAGTATACTACCTCGAAATTTTACCATATTATTCATAATCATAATACCATAGGCTAATCATTAAACATAACATAAAATCACTTAAAATTAACGCTCAAGCGGCACCACTTATTCTCTACATATCTTCTTCTCGCGACGAAATTAGACCATCGTTAGCTACACCGCATGTAAATTTTCCATAAATCATACATATCATCTACAACATACAGCCCATTATGCACCATTAGGGGGATGCGCGCGCCAAGCCGGCAACAGGGGGTTGGCCGTCTTACCAAATTGCTCATTATCCTATCGGCAGTGAGTGCTCAAGACGTCCTCGCCATAGTAGCCTAGTCAAGTCAGGCACACTCTACTATCTATATAGTTCATAATCAGTCATCGAATGTTAGCTAGATCAGAAATAGGGGTTTGGTTTAAATAAGACCTAACGGATATATTTTGATAAATTCAACTCGTTAAGCAGAAAGAAGACGGCACGGTAAAAAGAATTAAACAAACAATAAAAACACATAAAATAAATTTTTCGGGTGTACTTGTAAAGAATTGTTCTACGTTGTCGTATGGGCCAAAAACAGTACAAAAGTCTCTTGTGATCTCTTCCAGAATAAAAACTAAAAAACGAGATCTCTCTTGGCAAGCCCAACCCAAAGTATTCCGACGTTATTTTCATTTAGAGCGATTGTTTGCTCTCCACGACATGTCGCTAGGTATGAGCGCGCGTTTGCGCGAGCGAAACGACAAGTGAAATTGTCACACAGCAGCAGTTCCCGAGCTGCGAGCTGGGCCAGGGGGGGCGGGGCGAATAACGCGCCTCAGCCTCAGAGACGAATTCACGAGGGGGTGGTTGTGCAGTGTGTGTAAAAGTAGCATTCTCAGAGCTTGCTAATCGTATGATTGAAATCTGCCTGACAGATTAGGCATAATAGGTGTCCACGTGCACTATTTTGTTCTATAAAAGCTGTTTATGAAATGCAGAGTGTACTCTGTGAGTTGCTACACCCAGTTGATTATCATCGCAGTATATATATATGTAATATAACCATCAGCACACTTGCATGTCGTTTGTGCCGAATTTTTTTGCTAATGAACCGAGTGCGCGGTTACCGCCAGGAGACCCGTTTCGGGGTAGTAAAACGTCGCATGATCGGGACAGCGGAGAGAAATCGTTTCGGAGCTTCCGTTACTTCTCGGCTCTGCTCCTGACTTGAGTTAGAAATTGCAGACTGATCTGGAAAACTTGCGTGTCTTTACCGACGCGCAATTCGTGAACCCGTTAATCGATCCCGCGTGAGATACACATCACTGAAAATTCTGCGAGGTCGTGATGCTGCTGTCGTTGCTGTGTGTGTGGTGTTGTCTGTGTGTCTCGTGGTCGTTGGCGCTCGGTGGGTGGGCCGCTGCATGGCGGTGTTCGCGATCTCTCTCTCTCTCTCTCTCTCTCTCTCTCTCTCTCTCTCTCTACACACACAGAAGATTGATTATGGCTCGCTCGCTTCGCCGCGAGGCAAGACAGACATTGGCGGTAAACGTTTATAGACGTAATGTGAAACGGCGGAGGACTTACCGACGGACGGGACTCCGGGTTAGATCAGCGTTTGACGGCCTTTAGCGGAACAATTCACCTTTAGAATTCACGAGATGACTGCTGGCCGGTGAGATCGTGAGTGCTGCCGGGAGATGTAGATGCTGCTGCTGCTGCTGCTGCTGATGATGATGCTGATGATGATGCTGATGATGATGTTGCTGCTGCTGCTGCGGCTGCTGCTGATGCTGCTGCTACTGCTGTAGATGCTGCTGCTGCTGCTGATGATGATGATGATGATGATGCTGATGATGATGTTGCTGCTGCTGCTGCGGCTGATGATGATGATTGTGACGATGCCGCCGCTGCTGCTGCCACCGTTTCTCTTGCCGAGACTTTTGCTGCTGCTGCTGGCGGCGGTGTTGCTACCAGCACTGCTGTTGTTGTTGTTGCTGGTGGTGGTGCTGCTGCTGTTACTGTTGTTGCTGATGCCGCTATTACTGTTGCTGCTGTTGCTACTGATACCGCTGCTGCTGACAGTGGCTGGCATACTGCTTAACTGCGACGTTGATGCGTCGAATGTTGACCTTATGAGTGCCCTTTTGCAATATATGGCGTAGGATTATGTGAGAAATCATTTTCAATCGCGTGTAATACGCTTACGCTGTAAGATGCAGGGTAATACGTCATCGCACTAGAATTCTCGCCACTCATTCGCGATCGTTTAACCAACAATCGGGAGAACCAACGAGACAGTCACGTTAAATTATTGTTGTATTGTACATTTCAGCCAGACGAGGCTGTGCGATTAATTGTCTATACTTCTAACCCTGGCAAGTTATTGTTGTTATTGTAATGACATGGGACGTCGTGCTCGTACATATACGTAGCCCCACCGCGCACCCTAATGAATACAGACAATTGCGCGTTAATATGTTACTAATAGTAGAAGCAGCCGGTGAGAAACGGGTTAGGATTGTAGAGCGGTCAGTATGTTTTTGAATCCGTATAAATAGACTCGCTCGGACAGAGAGAAAAGATATTAGAGATAGAGAGTTACTAGAATTAGTTAGAGAACTGTTATTATATGGAGAGACACATTGTTACTATGTAGTGAGTCGGAGAGAGATCGAGACGAGGCGTCGGAGCCTAGACATGGTTGCCTAGGCTATGGTATGGTATATATTTGTATATGTGTCAAGTAATAAAGACACGAGTTACCTACAACTAACCTGCGAAGCTGTCTCATTCGGAACCTGACTAACCAGACTCTGCAATCATCTGCCGGACGACTCTGCTACTATCTGCTATTTGCTACATCGCTAATACGCTGTCGACTCTACAAGATCCTGCACTGAGATCTTCAACTATTTCTCCGTACAATATTATCATTATTAATTCAAGTTGATTCACGTTAACGGCCGCGACACACAACATACGCACATAACAACGTGATAGAAATTTCTCTTCCACACCACTTTATTTACGTAGACAAAACAGACTCACGATTACATTACGCGTTCCGCTGTCCCGACCATAGAAATAATATAGATGGACTATCTATATTATGCTATCTATATTATTTCTATGGTCCTGACGGACAGACAACAGTGGGGAGTAGATACAATCGTTCAGAGTTAGGAACTGGAAGATTTTTCCCGAAGAACCTTTCACATTTTATTTTACAGTTTTAAGTGCTCGCGACCTCTCGACCGACATCCGCCGGATGACGGACTGTTCTACGTCGGGACTCGGGAGACAGGGCATCTATATAGAGGCCGTGTATTACGTTACTGTTTTGCACCCCTCCTTTTATATTATATATCTTGATAGGACAGAACAACGAACAAAAATGTCGCCGTTATGCACGGCGCCCAAAACAAAAATTGCAGAGCTGCGAAGTGGGGGAGCGTAGGGTGTGGAGAGGGAGGCGGTGGAACCATTAAAATTTAAGTCATCCACTATTTTGCGCAGTTCGCTGTTTTTGGCCCCCCTGTTAAAAAATCCTGGCTATGCCACTGCTCGGTGGTAACAGCACTTGGTGGTCGGTCACCTGCTACCACTGCGCACTGCAAAAATAACATTTACTCTGACCAGGAGCGCCGTAGAATAGACGCTCCGTAGCTCGCCATATACGCTCCAGGAGCGTCATCATAATAGACGTACGACACACGACACATGACACTCTGACCAACATAAACCGCAGATTGGCGGGCGGAGAGGAAGGAAGGAGGAGGCGGGCGGGGGGGGGGGTAAGAACTCCGCGCTCCTATTACCGCTAACGACCTTGTAGCCTTGACGGACACGCTAGAGGTTCACGAGCGTGATATAATACGACACAGCGAAAACAACGTAGAGTCGGCGGCCACTGTGCCGCCAGTAACTACCGAAATTACGGTAACAACAAAAAATAATAACAGCGGCAAACATTTTTCTCGGCGAATGCACGTCGCACCACGCATTTTTCCCCATTATGCACCATTAGGGGATGCGCGCGCAAGGGCAACAGGGGGGGGGGGCGTCTACCAAATTGCTCCATTTCTATCGGCAAGTGAGTGTCAGACGTCCTCCGCGGCAGCAGAGCACCCATCAAAATGCAAATCAGTCATCGGAAGCAGCAGCAGGGGGCCTCCGGTTTTTTTAATCAACTCGCGAAGGAAACGCACGCGTGCCACCAAAAAAATAAACCGACCAAAAATATAAACCGACGGCGCCCAAGTATTCCACGACGTTATTTTCATTAGGGCGATTGTTGCTTCGCGACTGTCGCTAGGTATGCGCGCGCGCAAACGAAGTGAAATTGTCACACAGCGGCAGTTCCCGGCTGCCGAGGGCCGGGGGGGGGGGAAATAAACGCGAGCTCAGAGACGAATTCACGCGTGTTTGTCGTGTTTAAAGTGCACTCGTATTTGCGCACACAAGTTACTGCCACTATTTTGTTACATTTTATGCATATATCTATCTATATACACACATTATATATATATATGTATATAACCATCAGCACTTGCACCGACTAAGAGATGCCGCCGCAGAGCGTTTCGAGGGCAGCGAGCTCGTCAGCTTCCGAACCGGCGCCCCCTGCTGGAGTCGCCACGTTGACCTTGACCACCGCCACCCCATCGTCCCGGGACACACCGCCGTCTGCCTCCTTCGCGTCGCCGCCGCCCCGCGCGACCACGCTCGTCGTCTCCATGGCGACCTCGTCAGCATCCCTCCCAGCATGCTGTTCGTCAGTCTTCTGCTGCTCACTTGTTTGCTGTTCATCTGTTTTCTGCTGCTCACTTGTTTGCGGTTCATCTGTGTTCTGCTGCTCACCTGTCTGCTGCTGCTCACTTGTCTGCTGTTCACTTGACTGCTGTTTGCCTGTCTTCTGCTGCTCACTTGTTTGCTGTTCATCTGTTTTCTGCTGCTCACTTGTTTGCTGTTCATCTGTGTTCTGCTGCTCACTTGTCTGCTGCTGCTCAATTGTCTGCTGTTCATCTGTTTTCTGCTGCTCACTTGTTTGCTGTTCATCTGTGTTCTGCTGCTCGCTTGTCTGCTGTTCATCTGTTTTCTGCTGCTCACTTGTTTGCTGTTCATCTGTGTTCTGCTGCTCACTTGTCTGCTGCTGCTCAATTGTCTGCTGCTCATCTGTTTTCTGCTGCTTACTTGTCTGCTGTTCATCTGTGTTCTGCTGTTCAATTGTCTGCTGTTCATCTGTTTTCTGCTGTTCACTTGACTGCTGTTTGCCTGTGTTCTGCTGCTCACTTGTCTGCTGTTCATCTGTTTTCTGCTGTTCACTTGACTGCTGTTCGCCTGTCTTCTGCTGCTCACTTGTCTGCTGTTCATCCATCTGCTGTTCTTCTGTGCTCTGCTGTTCGCCCATCTTCTGCTGTTCATTTGCCTGCTGCTCACTTGTCTGCTCTCCATCTATCGTCGGCTCGCTTTTCTCAGACGTAGGTTGCTGCTGCTCCTCACCAGCCGTGCCTTGCTTAGTGGACGTGCCATCTTCGTTTTCCTCCCGTTCTGCTTTCTGCTGAGTATCCACAGCTGCAACATTCTGTCTTAATTCTTGCTTCGCCATCTTGCTCTGCTTTTGCTTTAAGTTCTGGTGATAAATAAAATTTAAAAAATGAAATAAATCACGATTATTTTTTATTATTGTTTTTTTCACACCAAACTCTGTACGATGTATCTTTGATTCTCGGTACCCACTCCACTCACCCTGCCATGCACCTAAACCGAGGAAACGATTGCCGAATTACAATATACAATGACAACATACATATACATTGCCCATTACAACATACTGCTGCTAACGAACCGCAACGACCACGTACACTAATGAATGCACTTCACTGTAGGATTACAACGGCACCCTCCTACACTGTCGAGTACACAGTCGCTGCCTCACTACGCACTGCTGGTGTGATGGTAATAAAAAGGCCCTTCTAAACGTCGACGATCCATCGTAAATTCATTAAGCATGCTCGATTACATAGAAACCAGCGCCGCTCCGCACATCATTAAGATTGGTTTGTTAGGGAGCGCGATGGGTTGTAATCTGCTTAGCCGAGACGAGGCAATTGCCTGATAGCGCGTAAGCTGAATGAGAGATTAACGACAGGGGTGGGGGCTAGGTCACTTCTCTACGGAATCAGCAAAGTCGTGACGGAAGAGGATTGGCACGTACGAGCATCGCGCCACACGACAAATTTGCACGCCGGGGCACTGTCACGGGTGGATGAGGAGAGGGGAGAAGGGAAGGCAGAGGGGGAGGACAGACGAGAAGAGGAGGAGGGCAGAGGAAGAAAGTGGGAGGGCAGCAGATGATAGAGGAAGAAGGGGAGAGGGCAGGGGAGGAAAGGAGAGGGCAGAGAAGAGAAAGGGAGGTCAGGGGATGGAAGGGGGAAAGAGTGGAGGGGAGGGCAGAGGAGGTAAGGGGAGCAGAGGAGGGAAGGGAAGGGGGAAACGGCGGGTGCCGACAACCAAAAAAGGCGGCACGACGAGAGGAAGGGAACGAGGAAATGGACGGCCGACACAGGAAGTTGAAGGAAGAGGAAGAGCAGCAGGGCAGGCGCAGGGGGGCGGTCGTGAGAGCGGAAGCGGCGGCGTTCTGCAACACGCGCAGCGACTACACAAATACAGAAATACCCCACCCCACCACCACCACCACCACCACACGCACACACGCACGCACACACACACACGCACGCGCGCGCACGCACGCACACACACACACACATACACACTCATCCCCACCCACCCCACCCTCCCACACCGGCACAGTACGGAAAATCCGCGACCAGCACCTGCGTGCGTGCGCTCACCAGCGGCGCTAAGCACCCCTGAATGACAGATGAAGTCACGTCATCATCATCATCATCATCGTCGTCGTCGGCGTCGTCCGTGTCGCGCGCGAATCGCGGCGGCTGATCACCACGCTATTTGTATTACTCGCATGGGAAGTCGTTACCGAGATTGACAATCACGCGTGCCACGCGATCGGCGCATGCGCACCCCGGGGGGGGGCGACTTGACACGGTGACGGCGCACGCGCACCCGGCGGGGGGTGACATGACACGGTGACGGCGCACGCATGCGCGGCGGGGGTGACATGACACGGTGACGGCGCACGCGCACCCGGCGGGGGGTGACATGACACGGTGACGGCGCACGCGCACCCGGCGGGGGGTGACATGACACGGTGACGGCGCACGCATGCGCGGGGGGGGGGTGACATGACACGGTGACGGCGCACGCATGCGCGGGGGGGGGGGTGACATGACACGGTGACGGCGCACGCATGCGCGGGCGAGTTTTTCACCGGCGAAGAACGGTTGACGTCAAAAAACGACGATGCGTGTGATCGATTACATACGTCATGCAAGCGAGAGGGAGATGCGCGCTGTACGGAATGACATTCGCGTCTGGTCGCTGCCTGATGTTCTCTGACGGCGGGGGTGGTTGATATAGGACGAGCAATATAGGCTGATGTGAACGCCCCACCGCCCTCCGTATCATATAACATCACATTACGAGAGAAGAACCAGAAAAAGAACCGCTCATCCACGTGATTACCGTACTTACCTGTATTACGTGATTACCGTACTTACCTGTATTACTGTATTACGTGATTACCGTACTTACCTGTATTATTGTATTACGTGATTACCGTACTTACCTGTATTACGTGATTACCGTACTTACCTGTATTACTGTATTACGTGATTACCGTACTTACCTGTATTACTGTATTACGTGATTACCGTACTTACCTGTATTACTGTATTACGTGATTACCGTACTTACCTGTATTACTGTATTACGTGATTACCGTAACTTCCTGTATTACTGTATTACTGCTGTTTACCGTACTTCCTGTATTCTGTATATACGTGATTACCTACGCTTACCTGTATTACATGCTTATTACTGCATTACCGCTACTATACCTGTATTACTGTATTACGTGATTACCGTACTTACTGCTATTACTGTATTACCCCGTGATACCGTATTACTGTATAACTGTTATTAACGTGATTACCGTACTTACCTGTATTACTGTAGTACGTGAATTACCGTACTTACCCTGTATTTACTGTATACGTGACATTTACCTTACTTCACTGTATTTACGTATTACTTGATTACCGTTTACTTACCGTGTATTACTGTAGCTACGTGATTACCGTACTTACCTGTATTACTGTATTACGTGATTACCGTACTTACCTGTATTACTGTATTACGTGATTACCGTACTTACCTGTATTACTGTATTACGTGATTACCGTACTTACGTGATTACCGTACTTACCCTGTATTACTGCCCTAGTACTGATTACCGTACTTACCTGTATTACTGTAGTACGTGATTACGTACTTACCTGTATTATTGTATTACGTGATTACCGTCTTACCTGTATTACTGTATTACGTGATTACCGCTACTTACCTGTTATTACTGTACGTACTACCTGTATACGTGTATTACGTGATTACCGTACTTAACCTGTTATTACCTGTATTACAGCTGATTACCGTACTTACCTTTTACTTGTATTCTGTCATTACCTTACTTACCTGTTTAACTGATTACAGTGCATTACCGCTACTTACTGATTACACGTACTTACCTGTATTTATTGCTATACTGCATTACCGTACTTACCTGTATTACGTGATTACCCGTACTTACTTGTATACTAGTAATTACGTGATTACCGTACTTACCTGTATTACTGTATTACGTGATTACCGTACTTACCTGTATTACTGTATTACGGAATACCGTACTTACCTGCCTATACCGTGATTTACCGTACTTACATGTATTACTGTATTACGTGATTTACCTTATTACCGTGTATTACTGATATTACGTGATTACCGTCTACTTACGCTGTATTATTGTATTACGTGATTACGTACTTACCTGTATTTACGTTGATATACCGTACTTACTAGTATTACGTAGATTTTTACCGTACTTACCTGATTACTGATATTACGTGATTCCGTACTTACCTGTATTACTGTGCTACGTGATTACCAGTACCTTACCTGTATTATTGGTATTAACGCTGATTACCGTAGCTGTACCTGTATTACGTGATTACCGTACTTACCTGTATTACTGTATTACGTGATTACCGTACTTACCTGTATTACTGTATTACGTGATTACCTGTATTACTGTATTACGTGATTACCGTACTTACCTGTATTACTGTATTACGTGATTACCGTACTTACCTGTATTACGTGATTACCGTACTTACCTGTATTACGTGATTACCGTACTTACCTGTATTACTGTATTACGACAAAGTGATTACCAGTAGCTTACCATTATTACTGCCTAGCTACGTGATACCGTACTTCCCTGTATTATTGTATTACGTGATTACCGTATACCTGTATTACTGTGGATTACGCGTACTTACCTGTATTACATGTATTAACGTGGATTACCGTAATACCTGATATTAACTGTATTACGTGATTACCTGTATACTGTATTACGTTATTATACCTTAACTTAACCTGTAGTTACTGTATTACGCTGCATTACCGTACTTACCTGTATACTGTTATTTACGTGATTACCGTACTGTACCTGCTATTACTGTATACGTGAGATTACCGCTACTTACCTGTCATTACTGTATTACTCCCCGTGATTTACCGTATTACCTGTATTTACTGTATACGTGATAACCGTACTTACCTGTATTACTGTATTACTGATTACCTGTATTACTGTATTACGTGATTACCGTACTTACCTGTATTACGTGATTACCTGTATTAGGTGATTACCATGATTACTTGTATTACTGTATTACGTGATTACCGTACTTACCTGTATTACTGTATTACGTGATTACCGTACTTACCTGTATTACTGTATTAGGTGATTACCGTTCCGTAGCGGCATTTATCATACGGTGAATCTTCGAGATTTATCACCATTAGCAGAAATTCCTCGCAGAGCCCGATTTTCTTTCTAGCTAGTAATTACGTTACATTATTCTGACATACTTACATGCTATGCTATGTAGTAGTTAGGTTACATCATGTATATGTATGTATATATATATATATCATGGTATACGATATTTAGATTATGTTATATGACATATATCATACTACACGATACTTATGTGAAATTATATGGCATAAACAATATGTACGTTATATTATGTGGCATACATAATAGTTATGTTACATTATGCCGTGCATACGCCATGCTATACTGTTCTGACGTTGCATTACAGCAGTATGTACTTACATTACAAACTTTCTGATAGTGCTGTTGAGACTGGCAGTGATGTCTGGCCGAGTTCCCTGTACCGTAGAACTTGCTGCACAACCTGCAGAAATACCCACTAACGGGCACGACAAATTCCAGACCTGAAGAAAGAAAGAAAAACATCCATAAGTCGCCTCCATAGTTGCGGCCATATAAAACATTCAGACCTATGTCAGCCGACACCGCTAAATAATGGACACATGTCTATAATGAACTATTATGTCTATAATGCAGTTTTTAGGTGCACTCTTAGGTGTTTTTTGTCTTGAACGGCAGTTACACGGCCGCCTCCATAAAACGGCCACCTGTTTATAAAAGGTTCTTTTGGTGTTTCCCCTAGAATGGCAGTTACGACTGGAACTCCCTCTACACCGTGGACACCCCTCTATAAAGGACACTTTTGGCAAGCTCTATATATCGAACACCTGTCTATAAAGGACACATGTTATTGCCTCTATAGAGTAGACACAAAAATCTATAAGTGACATATATGCTTTCCTTTGAGTGACAGTTATGCAGCCAAACTACCTCTATATAACCTACCTGTCTATAAATGAACAAATTCCCTTTGATTGGCTTTTATGTACAATTTGGACTGCTAACCACTGATGCTATTCAACACGATAATTGCCTATTATCTAGCCAAGCAAATTCACATAGTTACTTCTAATGTGTCTAATTATCTAACTATCATTTGTCGTCTTCTCCTTGTTAACTCGCCTTCTCAGTTCGGCTCGACACATAAACATACACACACACACGCGCGTGCGCACGCACACATGCGCGCGCACACACATACACACACACACACATACACACTCACACGCGTGCGCACGCACACATGCGCGCGCACACACATACACACACATACACACACGCGTGCGCAC